TAAAAACTGATTGGTTAAAATAACCATATGATTGATTAAAGTAACCATAATAATTTTGGTTAAATTGGTTAAATGCATCTGACGTAACAAATTTTTATGATTGTTTTAACCAATCAGTTCTTACAGTGTTACATTTATCAACACTGGCTCATGCAAATAACTTGTCAAAGCTTAAGCTCTTTTCCTGATCCCATATCAACATATATAGCTAGGAAACAAAAACCAATTCACAAGTAGTAGATATAATCAGGACACGCAAAGTTTCCAACGCAATGCTGAGTGAATCAATGTTGCTGTGTGTATTTTGTCGAAAATTACCATTCAAAACACTACCTTTTTTTACACAAACCAAAAATAAAAACAAATTACTATACCTTAAATACCCGTTTCTAATTACTATACCTTAAATGTCTTGAATGAATAAACAACTAGGATAACAAATCTGGGATGTATTATTCCAATAAAATTGGTTCTTGATAAGAAGTTTAGGAGTGAAATAAAAAAAACATAATTTTATTTACAGAAAATAACGTTTCAAAAAATATGACACATATGACTGATCAATTTTTGAAAAAATCTTAAGTTCTTAACCATTCCATTTTTAACTTAAATAGTTCAGGTGGGTTGATATACGTCCAGGCTATTGGTACAGCTAACCATTGTCTTTTCCAAACCAACAGCATCACAAATTATATATTGATGACGCCAAAAAAATTGCGGATTTCGTCCGTTGCCTTTGAGATTTACCGAAATTGACCGCTTTTCCGAAAATTTCACAATTTCCCACTCCCTCCTGAGGAAAAAGTGAGAAAAATGTATTTGTGTACTTGGGATTCGGCAAGCAATTTTTTGTTGAATATCAAGGTAAAAACCTTAAATTCATAACAGCGAGTCAACTGTGGTTGTCAGTTATCTGCTCCTATGAGGATGCATTTATAACTATCGACGAAAGAGCTATATGTCGGCTACACATGTATGAATGAAGATGTGCGTCGTTTTCTTACCACCGTCAAACTTGTTTGATCGATTAAACTCTTTAGTATATACAAAAAAGTATATCATAGCTATTTTGCTTCTTTTCATGCAATAGGCAATGGCTTTTTTCGCCACAATTGTAGGATTTTTACTTGTTTCTTTAAAAAAGTAAATATTAAATCTCTGGAATTTACGGATTTTCTGTAATTGAGTTTCGTATTAAATTTCAAAAAGACTCAAGTCTGCATAGGTTTGGTAAATGAAAACAAACAATGTTGTATAGAAATTACTTTAAGTAACCTTTTTGTGATGTTCTGAAGTGCAACTGCATCAAATACTTGTAAAGTTGTAGCACATTTTTATTTTGTTGTATTGATATATAAATTGGGCAAAATGCAAATAATCATCAAAACACTTATGCTTCCAATGGTGTTTATAATTCAATTGTAGTTTTAATACTTCTACCCTTCTTTTTCACATTGTTTTGTTTTTCCTATATTTGCAAGATAAGTGCACAATTTGAATGATTAACACAGTGTTCACCTCAATAATAAACTTCATAAGCAGTTGGTAGTGCATTTTGTTCTCTGAGTATCCACATCTGGTGTTTTCTTCATACAAGAATGATGAAGTGCAAGTAGATATGTCATAGCAAGACAATAAAACCAAATGAATTAAATACCTATAGTGTACTTTTATGCTAGAGGCGTAAAAGCTTTTTAGAAATTATAAAGTTATTGGATTATATTACCTCTATATCATCAATCTCATGAAAAGAAATAAGAAGCAAAAAATTTGTAGGAAAGCTTTGAAAAGTGAAAAACTTTTCTTTAAAAAAGTAGCAATAATGCATATGATAAATCTCCATTCTGTACTTTACTAGGTAAATAAGCTCAAACTGTTTCTTAAAGAAATATAAGAAATATATAAGAAATATACAGTAAAGTAACTTTAAAGGTTTCATTACTGAATCTTTAATGTTTCAGTATAGTGCAATAGATATTAGTAACATTTAAGCAACACTCAACTAAATTATTTTGATAAAGATATGAAATGATTTAAACATTAAGTTATATAAAACCCAAAGGCTTATACAGTTTGATGCTTCACATTTGCATTGACTCATCATCAATCTCAGTACAAATGTTTACATAGACACCAAATTTATGGCCTTCCCATTTTATATGTTCGTACATTGACATTTCATTAAACATCAAAACACACATAACCTTGCCATCTTTCATTCAAGGCATCATTTGTGAATCCATTGTCTCCATTATTATCTTTACAGCATTATCATTTCTTCAAGACTCTGCCTGGTCAATAACATCTTCCAGTCATCTTTACTCCTTGATCTTCCCTGCATGTTGTCAGCAAATAGAACATAACAAGCTCTGCTCCAAATCATGGGTACTATTGGGGCTGATCATTTCTTTTTGATACTTACTCACAGAGCAAAATTTGTGCAGGGTCGTTTTTGCTTTAGGGAAACTGTTTTGCAAATAGATGGGTAAATTTACGATTTCATGCATTAAGAAATGACAGAAAAGTATGCAGAATTTTATAGACAAAAACAGGAAAATATCAGTATATTTGGCGTTCAAGTCAGTCTTAAAAAATACGATATCTAATATGTATTTTATGGCTTTTCAAGTGCATGTATAATTGTTTATAATCGTCGGCGGACTAAAAAAAGCAACTATCTCACCTGTAAGAAGCGATATGTTCTTTTTTGTGGAAACTACGACTTCCGACAATTGAACGATTGAAGTGTTGGCATTATAAAAGAAATGCCAAAAAAGATATCATCACAGAATATGGAACTAACGATATCCGTACTCTGCGATATCGTATTTGTTTTTGAAAAATTCTTTATAATTTACTGTAGACACCAGGGGGAGATCGAGAATATTATTTTTCTGCAAAGCGATCATTTCAGCGGAAATAAGTCCGTTGGCCGCCATTTTTTTGGCGTCAGGTCCCAGTAAAGTTAGTTGCTCCAGCTATTATAGAACTCAATGGCTTAGACTTGTCTGAAGCCACTTAGAAGCTGATTTGCCGCTTCGCATGTATCTCGCGTGGATTGTTTTGTTTGCTTGACCGTTTTTTTTTCAAAAACTGCTAACTTGGAAATAGAATGCTAGCTTAAATGTTTTTTTATTTCCAAAACCGTTTACAAAATTTGGTTATTAATGTGTCAAGATGCATTGTGGACGTACCAAGGCATGTTTTGTATACGTAACGCTGTATTATATAAAACATAAAAGTAAGAAATTTCTTCGAAATATGAATTTCTCATTTGTCGTCGAAAGACCAAAAATTTAAGACAAAACTGATAACAGGTAGTCTGTATCTTTGAATGCTTTGCAAAATACATACAATCCACTTAATATAACATTTTTCATAACAATTTTATTGCTTTTAAAGTTAGACTTGCTTTGTAAGAATTTCGCATGCTCTTGCAATGTGTGAAAGTGATGATTTGAAATTTAGAACTGTGGGTGATTGTTGTTTCTGGTCATTTACTTCTCCCACTTCTTAAGACTGGTGAAAGACTTGACATGCATCTATATTTGTGTATTGAGCATTTTATCAGCAACTTCATGCTTATAAATAAATAGCCAAGTGTACAACATGACAAGTATGCTAATTTAACCTGCTCTGCATAAATGCCAAAAAGCAACCCTCATCCTCAGTGGTCTGAACCAGGGTTTTAAAAAGATTATAAAGCAAGCAAACTATATCATGTATCAAAATTTTATAGTATATCATATCGATTGTAAAATTAGTTTTTTTCTTGTAATACAGATGATGATAAATGTATATGTAATATATTAAATTTTAGGATGTGGGTTTAAAATATTTAGTCATATTTGTGAAAATATACGAGGATTCTATAACATTAAACTAATAATCTTTTTCATACTTTTATTACATTACAATTTTTACTTAAGTGTTTCAAAAGTTATGAATATGGAGTGTCAATTGTGTTTTTGTCTTTTTTTTAAGTGGGTATTATCCCTTTTAACTCTTTAATGGTGTAATTAATAATAACACAATAATATGGCATAACAGTTTTTTTAAAGCGAACTCAAAATATTTATTTGCTAACTTTGTGAAATATTTTGCAAAGTGTTTTTCTTTTTGTTTACGCTCTGAACTTTCAAAAAGGAATGGGGCGAGCTAATTTTACTAGGAAACACAAAAATTATCGAAAAACTGCGTTTTTTGCCCTGACAGCTTCATTTTCAAAGATTCAAACAATATTATAAGGATAGACAAGTGTGTTTTACATCCTCTTAATGAAAAAAAACGAGGGGTGTCCGTTTTGTATTCAAGTTATAAGGCATGTTTTCATGTGCCAAAACAAAGTTCGCTTTTCATCCTTCTAAAAAGAAGCTTAAACATGCACAAATGTCGTTCAAACTTGTTTTATATTAAAGTTCAAACACTGTTTAAGGTTTGTAGAAATTAAGCTGGCTCGAAAACCACTGTTTTTGGCAAAAAATCCTGCAATTTAGAAGTGATGTATTTCCTCTCCGTACCCTCAGTGGCGGCGATCATGCAGGCTTCAAAGATGGCGCCCATGTTAGCCTTCCAGTTGTTGTAGAGTTCATTGGAGTAACATGACTTATTCACAATACAAACAAACGATGAACTCAAAACATTACACTTCACATTAATCCACAATGACAATACACAATTGACACCCACACATTACAAATAAAAACATTACACTTCATATTAATTCACAATGACAATACATAATTGACCCCCACACATTTCCTGTACACACAGTAAAATGACGTAAGACCCAGATAACAAACGTCTGTCATCAACAGCAAAAACAGTCCTTCTCAGGACTATACCAACCTGGACGATCTACATTTACAAACATGTAACGATACTCCCGGATTCAAACCATTTACTTTAGTGTAATCAATCATACAAACTTGGCATGATATTTTTCGGCAATCTCCATGATATTTCAGCTACACAATACGCGTCCATAAACAAAAGAAATATTAAGTTTGCTCTAATACAGTTGAAAATTTAGAAAATTCTGTCTGTCTTCATACTATTTATTCTTTCATGTTTAGTTTATTTATGAAGAAAAATAAAATACCTCCACCTCATCTGGTGTGAAATAAGGGGAACCTGCTAACAAGTTTTGAGTTTTATCACTTAAGTAAGTATAACCATTTGGAAGTTTGTAGGAATTTCCAAACCATTTTGTCCAGGAATGGGAATTAGAGTTGGCAATGTTGGCGATGTACAAATCATGAGAATGTCCAAATGTAGGTCCATAGTCGTATTTCGTGAACATTGCATATTGTGGAAGTATAGACGGGTCAGATTTGAATGGTTGTAGATTATCCTTGTTTTTTAAGGAAAAAATAAACGATCTTTCTGCCCTGATGTAACGTTGATTTCCTAAAATTAAAACAACGCGTTTCACAAAATTTCCTCATGCAGAAACATCTCGGGTGTATTTCATTTCGTAGATCTTTGACGTCACATATATAAATGGTGGAAGATCATTAATGTTTGTTTTTAAAAAAACTGTCATATAATTGTTGATTAGATTAAGATTATTTATATTTGAATATTATTGCTTTAACATAGCTTTACTATAACACTTCTTTTAGCAGGTTATCAGCTCTCTTCAAAGAAATTCATATTTTATATAAGTAACGTTTTGTCTTGTCTATAAGTTAATTTTTATTTAGCTGCTAGTGCAATGGCTTCGTCGAACCTCTAATTTAAGAACGTGAGCTACAAAAAGCGCTTATCCTAAGCATTAAATTGGAAATAGAAACTCCTATAAATAGAAACTGGTGGAGACGAGTCTGTTTGCACCTTAAACGAATAAGAACAGTCACCAGTTCATTCATTCAACTCTGTTACTTGCACTGGTACTTAAAAAGTACAAATGGTATTAATTGTGATGTTCCTTTATGCTTAAAATGACGATTAAGAGCCTATGATTACGCCAATAATCTTCTGACAAAATAAATTTTTGATATGCCACACAAACAAATTAGAGATTTTGGAGATTTCTTTAGCGTCTAGTAAGTAGCAAAGTACCAGTTGAAAAGGTCCTCAATGCATGAAGCAAATGAAAGAAATGGAATAATGGTTTTCGAAAATTGCGGAAACGTTTTGTAATTATTTGCAACGGGAATTTTTATTCGAAAGTTTGCTAATCACGGCAGTGTGCATGCTTAAAAGTTAGGACTGACTGGAGTATATAATGCAGAAATCTTTTAAAGAAGCTGAACGACACCTAAGGGAGCATAACTATAAAAATAAACCTGCATGTCTAATCACTTTAAGGCGAGAAGGTATTAACATATATGTTCTTTTAAAATTTCAATAAAATTATTAATGAAATTAAAATATTGAAGTCTCAGAGAAGCTAGTATTGATGATGCAAGCACAAGAAGAAATCGAATGTTACTGTTAAACACAATACCAGCCAAAAGTCTGCACGAACATACAAACTGAACAGCTAAATGATGGTAAATGGCCATTTCAGTGACAAACCCTGGCTTATTTTTCGACTAAAATATATGGAAGAATTTGTGTATGTAAAGTGTTTAAGATAATTGAAGATATTCCTATATTATGCAGACGTACGGCCGTCCAAAATTTAACATGATTTGTGTTATCTCATTTTAGGGCAAATAAACTGTTAGTATACGGTGACTTCACAAAACAAATTGTAAAAATTTCAACCTCTTCGAAGTAATTTGGCTATCAATCAAGGGCATAAAGCATAGAGGTAGAAGGACAGTTGACTTACAAGAAAGTTTAAAATTGAAAAGTCGTAAAATTTTCAACAGCTTTAGTCAGGCAAAAATTATGGGAGGAAAAAATTGTGAAAGTCCAAGTTGAGCTCAAGAAGTCTGGTATTGTATTTTGAACTAAGGAATGTAGGAAATGCTTTTTGCGTCATAGTTACGGTTTTCAATCGACATGGGCACACTTTATAGATTTTAACGAGCTCCCTGAACACTTTTATCAGCATTTAAAAGATTTTTTGATATGATTTAACCAATTTGAACTTCAAATTTACCATAATTGGTGCAAATGCAGACCTCCAATAAAAATTTCGCCAATGCTGCATGGTTAATTTCAATTTTCAGCAGGTTTTTGTTCCCTTCTTTTTGAGAAGTGTGACGGCGATATGGTACCACATTTCATTCTAAAGATATATCAATTTTACAATTCTTCGCCTACACAAGTTCTCGCTTTTTTCCTAGTCCCATCCTCTTAACTGCATTCCGTTGCTCCTCCTTGCAAACAAGAAACGAAAAACGTAAAGTGACCCATACTTACACACTAGCAGGACACTCACATCAAGAGCTGCCACTGTGTAAATTGCAAAACGCGAACAGTTATAAAATTAATATTTATATTATTTAAGAAAATGTCTCTATCTTCCTGATGACAACCATTTGCATATATATCTTGCACCTGACCGGTCATTTCTTATCAAACTACCATTGAAGATAAAGAAAGTTCAGATCTAGAAACTGAAGGAGAACAGGCGACCACCTCTAGTCACAAAGTCTTCGTTTAGAACATTCAGGTGAGCAAGTCTGCGTGAAACAATTGACAAACAGAAAGAATTTTGCAACCATCTTGTTGTACAATTGATTTTTTATTTCTGTGCTGAAACAAAAAATTTTCAATCATCCGTTACTAAGAACATGAAAGTTATCAATTGTAAAAGCGAAACAAACATCTTTTCAGACAGACGATGTGACTTGAGTAACTATTGGTTAACCATTTCACTTAACCCTAACGCCGATGCTTGATGCTTTGGTCGTTGATAACCTTAACTATGACCAACAACTTTTCCATAGAACCTTCGAGACAATAGAAGGTAATGTTAAACATACTTGCTTTCAACCCTGGAGTACATAAAAATTACATTTGTCATACGAAGTTTATGTTCTCAACCAGTTTTGGCATTGGACTTCGTTCGGATTATCCTAATGAATCTCAGAATTTTCCCTCCCCATATATTTAGACATCTTTTCAGACAGACGATGTGACTTGAGTAACTATTGGTTAACCATTTCACTTAACCCTAACGCCGATGCTTGATGCTTTGGTCGTTGATAACCTTAACTATGACCAACAACTTTTCCATAGAACCTTCGAGACAATAGAAGGTAATGTTAAACATACTTGCTTTCAACCCTGGAGTACATAAAAATTACATTTGTCATACGAAGTTTATGTTCTCAACCAGTTTTGGCATTGGACTTCGTTCGGATTATCCTAATGAATCTCAGAATTTTCCCTCCCCATATATTTAGAGATCTTTTCAGAATATGTGCGTACACTAATTGACGCTACTGACTTAAGTCTCCAATACGAAAGAGACCATCTTCCCACGTTTTTAATATATTGTTTTTTTCCCCAGTTCAAACCAACAAGTGCTTTTACACGCCAGCTTTGCATGGTATCATCTTACATACCATCATTAGCTACAGATTTTAGAGCTTCTTGATTACCCTGAAAAAATGCTTAGTTCTACCTTTTGTAGGCAAAATGTTGTAATAGTCCGTTAACATAAGTTTGAACATAAGTTTTGTTGGGAAGGCTCATGTTTTGTTCACCGCAGAGGTCATGGGTTCGAATCGCGTTGTGTCACCTGAATTTTTCAGGTTCATGAGACAATTGCTTAAACTGTCCAGCAAAGTGCAAAGATCACATCTTCATGTAATTTCAAATACTGCATAAAACATTCTTTCATATGACATTCCTTTCACGAGAAAACATGAGCCCAACAAAATTGACCTGTTCACCACTGTGTGACTTCATAGCTCAGTTGGTCAGAGCACTGCACCGGCACCGCAGAGATCATCGGTTCGAATCCTGTTGATTCACCTGAATTTTTCAGGTTCATAAGACAATTGCTTAAATTGTCCAGTAAAGTGCGAAGATCATATCTTCATTTAATTTCAAACACCGCACTGCATAAAACATTCTTTCAGATGTATAATGTCCTCGGGAACAAGTTTGAATTTAAGCAGAGAACCTAAACCCTTTCTTGCTTATTTAATATCTGACTTAAGAAGATCGTTTTAAGATAGCATTCACAGGTTTTAGAAAATGCAGCAAATCTTAGCCGGTTGTATTCTTATATAATGAAACCACTCTTCTTAGTTAATAACCATGTGGTTGTGGATTAAATATGGGTGGGAATTTATAGGCGATTTATAGGAACTTATGTGCATATAAGCTCATGGAAATATTGCTTCTATTTTGCAAAAACAATACAAAACTCTTAACACGGAACATTTACCAGAAAGTCACTCACCAAAACCGGTTTTCCCTTACGTATATTTGAACAAATCACACGTCGCTTCCTTAACAACAACGTTGCCCTCAAAATACCTGTCTTGACTGCCCACAAAAGCCTATCTATTTTTGTCTTCCTTTCACAGGCATGTACTCCCTTAAAATTTGCACAAAATGAATAGCCTTTGTGCTGCAGCCTTTCCTCATATATTAATTAAATTTTTTTCCGCCCTTCCCAACGTATCTTTTTTTTTCTCCTCTTTCAGGACAAAATTCCCAAACCTCTGTTATCTGGTGTAGTTTATTTATTCAGGTGTTGAAGCTGCAATGCCTCGTATGTGGGTCAAACCACACGTCATCTACACACAAGATTTTAAGGGATTTGGGAATATCCCGGCCCGTTACAGGCAACCAAGTTGTCAACGCTGCGTTATCGAGAATTTTTGCTCCATTAACTCAGCTGGACACACCGCCAATCTAGACTTTAGAATAGTTTCCTCTTCTTGCGATTCTTATGAATTCTCTATTTATGAGAGCCTCTTAATCAATAAATAAAAGCCCTCCCTTACAAGAAAGTTCCATTCCACTTAACCTCTTTTAATTTCACTTTTTTTACTTCCTAACTTACCTGTCTTGACTGCCCACAAAAGCCTATCTATTTTTGTCTTCCTTTCACAGGCATGTACTCCCTTAAAATTTGCACAAAAATGAATAGCCTTTGTGCTGCAGCCCTTCCACATATATTAATTAAATTTTTTTCCGCCCTTCCCAACGTATCTTTTTTTTTTCTCCTCTTTCAGGACAAAATTCCCAAGCCTCTGTTATCTGGTGTAGTTTATTTATTCAAGTGTTGAATCTGCAATGCCTCGTATGTGGGTCAAACCACACGTCATCTACACACAAGATTTTAAGGGATTTGGGAATATCCCGGCCCGTTACAGGCAACCAAGTTGTCAACGCTGCGTTATCGAGAAATTTTGCTCCATTAACTCAGCTGGACACACCGCCAATCTAGACTTTAGAATAGTTTCCTCTTCTTACGATTCTTATGAATTCTCTATTTATGGGAGCCTCTTAATCAATTAATAAAAGCCCTCCCTTACAAGGAAGTTCCATTCCACTTAACCTCTTTTAATTTCACTTTTTTTACTTCCTAACTTACCTGTCTTGACTGCCCACAAAAGCCTATCTATTTTTGTCTTCCTTTCACAGGGATGTACTCCCTTAAAATTTGCACAAAAATGAATAGCCTTTGTGCTGCAGCCCTTCCACATATATTAATTAAATTTTTTTCCGCCCTTCCCAACGTATATTTTTTTTTCTCCTCTTTCAGGACAAAATTCCCAAACCTATGTTATCTGGTGTAGTTTATTTATTCAAGTGTTGAATCTGCAATGCCTCGTATGTGGGTCAAACCACACGTCATCTACACACAAGATTTTAAGGGATTTGGGAATATCCCGGCCCGTTACAGGCAACCAAGTTGTCAACGCTGCGTTATCGAGAATTTTTGCTCCATTAACTCAGCTGGACACACCGCCAATCTAGACTTTAGAATAGTTTCCTCTTCTTACGATTCTTATGAATTCTCTATTTATGAGAGCCTCTTAATCAATTAATAAAAGCCCTCCCTTACAAGGAAGTTCCATTCCACTTAACCTCTTTTAATTTCACTTTTTTTACTTCCTAACTTCCTTATCATATATTCCATTTGACACTGCCTCTTTAGTAATCTAACACCTTATGTAAATATAACCAACTCCTTCACATACTTTAATGATTACTTGTCTGAGAGTGTCTTGAGTAAAGACGAAACGTCCCAATAAATTCAATTTTATAACTTTTTAACAACTTTTGGTTTATCTCAATGGCTCTAATTAAAGCTTTATGTTGGGCATTAATTTTTATTATACGAATTCGGTTTATGCATGGCACGTCTCTCGCTTCTCTTTGAACTAAATAAGACTTTATATTAATTATAGAGCCAATAATATTAATTTTGAAAGACCATATAACTCTGTTATGAAGCATTCATTTTTTGTTGGAAAAATTAAAACCACACGAATTAACTCTTAGCTCAAATTTTTTGCATTAGCTATTTTGAAACTTGGCTTCCTTCCATTATATGACACATATTTTCTAAAAACATGTGATCCTTTTATGACGAAATTCAAAGACATGCTTTTTACACCCTAGCTATATTTATCTATTTTATTTTTATGTATTCTGCTTGTTTTCTCATTGTTAACATTTATCTGCCTGATTTGTCATAGCTATAAATTAATGTTTAATCGATTTAAATGAGCACATGTACTTTAATGTATTTTTTTCTAATAAATTTGGTTGTATGATGTTGAAGTATTTTTAAATGCGCTTTAAATGCCCTTAAACGACTAATGTAACCCTTTTAACGACAATATTTAGCGACATTCATAATAGATTGTTTAGGCTTACCTCCCCAAGACTCCGAAGCAAATCCCCCAAAGACATAGGGTCCAACTTTTACAATTGCCAATGTCTGTCCTTTATTGTCGCAACGACTGTGAAATGTGCTTGCATCCCATCCATTTACTGTTGCTTGATAACAATGGACCGTCTTTTTGCTATTCAAGAACGATGGAAGCCATTGTCTGAGTTGTAGTATCCAATCGTTTTTACATTTTAGAATACTTGTATCCTTTAGGGCTATCCAGTTGTTTTCATCTTTGGTAATACATGGTTGTTTCAAGACTTTTGTCTGTGTGAAAAGAAAATAATTTTTTTTAAATGTAACAAGAGTGTGTACTCCCAAAGAAATTTTGAGGATTGAAAAGTTGGGCAAATTTTAAACGTTATTCCTCGAGAATATGGCGGAACCATTGCGATTTAGGGAAAATATTTACTGTCTTCTTAGAAAGGATAGTTAAATGATATTTTTACTTTTATTTATTGTGTGCTTAGACATTTTGACATAGCTTTTATACTTCAACAACAAGTGGATTCTGAGTAATAATGCAAATGCATCAGTCAGATATTTTGAAAATTTCAGTGCTTTGCCTCGTAATTGTCAAACAACAAGTTTATACGTAGAAGAATTTCAAACTAAAGATGTTTGCCAAAAAGTAAAATTAATCGCCAATTTTCGTGGTGATTTACTTATTTATCTTTATTTTACTAAATATACATCCACAACTAAAGCAAAACCTAATTGACAATATGTGGTAATTGGAATAATGTGATCTTGTTGTTGCAGGAACATATAGACATTATTAGCTAATAGCTCAACTGATGCATTACGTCAAAGTAAAAGTTTATCAATAAGTAAAAGATAAATGTTTATCAATAAGTCACGAAGGGCAAAATATATCAATGGTGAATTATTCCGAATCTTTTGATTTGAAGTGAAATCAATTGGTATTTTTTGAATCATATTGATTCACGCAGAGCTTTAATGCATTAGTACAGAAATTTGGTAAACTTAATGCCTTTCGTCAATGAGGAATGAAAAGTTTGATAAGAAATCCATTTTTTTTGAAGCCAATATTATTGTATGGTAATTTATTGCCGTTTTGCTATAGCTTGGCATTTAATTTTCTAATGCTTTATGCATTATTGTTTGTTTTTAGCTTGTGTCTCTGTATTCACACAAAACAGGAAATTTTTGAGATAACAATAAAGTAAAAAATAGAAGAAGAAGTGGAAACTCTGTCAAATATAGGCAAATCCTTTTGTAATCTGAAAACTTACAGTTGTTTGATAAAAAATCCAATTTCCTTTGGAAGGCACAGTTTTTGAGACATTACTTATTGTCATATTGCTGGTTTGACAGTTAATCTCATGTTCTTGTACACTGTAAAGGTAGTTAAAGCCAATACATTGCTGCTCCGGAACGCATTTCATAGAACATTCCATGAGATGGCGAACGACATGACTTGAGATGATATCTTTTTCAGCTAGAGCCTCACCTTAATAATAAAGAATAGCAATATTTAAAAGCAGAAAATTATTACATGCGTATAAAAATATTTTTCTTTTCATTTCCCCATATATTAATACGGTTTTGGAAAAAAATTTACTATGATAATTATGCAAAAAACTCGATTGTACAAAAACTTTAGCCGTAATACGTTGAATTTGAAGAGTAGCTATACACATTTTTCTGTCTGCAAACATGGATATTTTTATTATTTCATTCATACCATTTTCCATTAACTTCTCGAAAACAATTGGAGGGCTTTGGCATGCATCTTTTAACGCATTACAGGCAGTAATTACAGAAAAAATTACGAAAATATTCCCAATCATCTTTCAAACGAAACCTGGACCACAAACGTTATGATTAAAATATGTTTTCTGCCAGCATTTATATACCCTAGATTTTATTATAAATACATACTGCAATTTTACATCTGTGTTTATTTTAGCTTAGATATATAAACAAATACAGCAAGTTAGATAATAATTGAGGAAAAAAGACGATATGCAAAAACTGTAACAGTTACGTTTAATTAAAAAAATACGTACGTCTTTTTGTTTCAGAACTTATTGTAGATGTTTACTTTTTCAAATTTAACCAAGAATTTCGGCATGTCTTTTTTGATGCATTAGAGCAATGATTACAAAGAAAACTACAAAAATGTGCACAATCATCTTTCATTAGAGAACTACGACGCTTTTTTATCATTAACAATTGCTTTTTGACAACGGTTATATATACTCTGGCTTCCGTGATGAACTTATTACTCTTTTTACAGCTGTTACTATTTTGCTTAGATATTTAAAGCAAATATTGAATATATTGTGTACACACATATATATTTATGCTGAAAATAGGGAATTTTGTTTAATTTTCAAAGACACATAATATAATACGAAGTTTTTTTCCATGATGATACTACAAAAATGTGCACAATCATCTTTCATTAAAGAACCACGACGCTATTTATCATTAAAAATGCTTCTTGACAACGGTTATATATACTCTAGCTTCCGTGATGAGCCTATCATTTTTTTACAGCTGTGTTTATTTTGTTCAGATATTAAAGCGAATATTGAATATTTTGTGTACACGCATATATAGTTATGCTGAAAACATGGAATTTTGTTCAATTTTCAAATGCACATAATATAATGTATAAGTTTTTTCCATGATGTGTATAATCATGTGTTTATGTATGAAGATTTTGTTCATTATGATTTGAAACTATCAAATATTCTTATAGCTATTTTTACATCTTGTTTTGTAAGGGGTCATTTACCAATATCTGTATGATAATGCTATAACAAGATATAGCCAGCCCAGTAGCTAATGTTAACGCGTACCTCTTCGTTTTGTTTGTTGTTATCATGCACAAGCACACCCACTTTGTTACTAAAACAATTTTAGTTACATTTCGCTAGGCTTGCTATTGTTGTTGATATTTTACACCTGTGATGTTTGTGCTTAAGTTATTATTTTGCAGTTTTATAAATACTTTATGATACTTATTTTTTGGTTTGTCATATAAACTTTCAAGTTTGCAGATTTTAAAAAATGTCTTGTTATAAACAACATTCAATACGTGTACTTATGTGCAAAAACATAAATAAAATTTTAAAAATAATTTTGACAAACACAATATAAAAGCATGCTCATTTAAATTTTTTTAACCTTGAATTTTTAATGTTTTTCCAAATTTAAGAGATAACTTTTTCATAAAATGATATGATGTATAGTCTGAGAAACATGCCATGATTGGAAACAATTTTTAAACGTTCACCTTGATTGATATGTTTTGTATAAGCTATATTTCTCACACATATGTATATCATTATTTTTGTAGCCGTTATAACATTTTCATAGCAACTAAGATGTGCAAAAAAATAATGACTAAGCTTGCTTCATTTTGTTATTATAGACGTATACTATTTATTTGATATTATATAAACTTATACGGCATGATTATGTTAATATACTGTAGTCAATGATTCGACTTAACGTTTTTCATTTAAACTTTGAATTTTACAGATGTTTCAAAATGACAGCTTAATAACATGCAATGTTTGCATTCATGTCAGAAAAACTGAATGAAAATATTTAAGAAACTAATTTAGCAAAATATAACTTGCTCATTTTAAATTATTGTAAAAAGTCGTTACCCGCCAGATATACGTATTTTCGTCTAAATATTGTCTGCATTTTTACATATTTAAGAATTGTGTTAGTAAACTGTTTGACCTTTTTTTGCTGTTCATTTTAACAAGATAAGACAGTAATGAGATATTCAAAATTAATTTCGAACACTCATCTAGTAATTTGCATAGATACAATTCTTCTGCCTAAATAGTTTATCAATATTTTGTATGCACGAAAACATTATTGCTTTTATGCTTTTAAATTAGAAAACTTTAGTCATGTTCACAATATCGCAGTCGTCAAATAAAAATATGGTTCTCAACCTTTTTAGACATTTTAACTTGTTTATATGTACAAAAATTTATAGTTTTATTATAATTATCTTATTGTGGATATAATTTTTACAATAAACAGTTCCACCTATAACAACTATGCCATTTCCCGCAGTCCAGAGAGCATTCTAGCTTTACCAGTCTTTATTCTTCTGTACTTTATGCAGGTTCTATATTATAACTTTACGACTAATGTATCTTTCAACATCTAACGACATTCATAATGAATTGTTTGGGCTTACCTCCCGAAGATTCTGAAGCAAACCCCCCAAAGACAGAAATTCCAACTTTCGTAACTACCAATGCCCGTCCTTTATTAATACCGAGATGAGAAAATGTGCTCACCCTCCATCCATTTAGGACCGTGGACGGTAAAAATCGGCTTAAAAAAAGATTTTCGCTGCACACCTCTCACAACTAATAATTTCTCTCAAAATTTTATGTGGAATAATGCAAAAACAAGTAATAAATGTGACCCCAAGCGACAAGTGTTCGAAAATCTGGTGTTCAGAAGATTTTTTTAAGACGTAGGTGACAGCCGATAAAGCTGAGCGAGTTGGCAGGTCTGTCTTTGGTATAAAACAAGATCTTAGAATGTTGAATCAGTATCATGGTAAAAAACATTCGTTCGTGCTTCATAAACGAGTGACTGAGAGTAAACGGAGTAATATACTTTTCTAATCATTTCATACTAGTCTATCTAGTGGTAGTGGAAATTTTTGAAATTTGTATTTTTTTTTTGGTTTCGATAACTATCGATGACGTCATCGTGAATAAAACGTTAATTTCTGCCTATTGTGCACACTTACTGCTTGGGGCACATTGATTACTTGCTATTGCATAATTCCCCATAACATTTAGAAGGAAATTAGTAGTTGTGAGATGTGTGCAGCAAAAGTTGTGCTTTTGAGCACATTGGTCTACATGGGGAATATTCCCGTTAAGGAACTTAATGAATATCTAAGCATATTTATTACGCTTACGTCCGAATTAAAAAAGACACTGTAAAATACGAACCTGGACTGCCTAGCTTAAAAACTTTTTCTCCTCCTCTACGGATTTCGCTCAAAATGTCAATGGACGAGATTGTAAAAGAAATAAAATATTGAAATTATATTTTCAATCTCAATTTTTTTCAAAAATCTCATCAACAAAAGATGCTGAAAACTTGTGGTAAACGAATGGGGAAGTAGTGTAAGAAAAGAAAACGTTTCATGACACCGGTAAGTCAGATAATTTTGTTTGTCATTCACATTTCACAATGTTCAGTCTTTTTAAACAGCCAATTCTTTTCGAAATAAGGTTATCTTCCATCAAATAAAACTCACCCATCACGTATGAGTTGAATTTCGTACTCAAGAAGTGGCTCAAGCAGGATTTATTAAAAATAATTTTCAAAAAACACGAGGAGAAAGTGTTAGTGATGTGTTGCACTTGAATGATTTTGAGCATTTTAAGCATTTGAAACTATTATTTAAATTTATTTTGCTCTCATGCAACAAGAAGCAATAATATATGTCAGAGAAAACAGCACACTTAAATAACAAAATTTAAAGTTTCCACACATAATAATGTAGCTCTGTTTTGCAAATTAGCAGTTGATCCAAAATTGTGTAGTGTAGTTTACAATCCTTCCGTAACATCTTAACTAAAATTATTTATAGATTTATAAACAGCAACAACATTATATCATGATATTTTGAGTTTAGTTGTTATATTTCAGCAAGTTAAAATTGTTGTCTTATCGTGTACTCAATACAGCTTCCCGAATTAATACATGACATGATTGACATCTGCCGGTATGTAAGCAATGTTTACTCAAAATTCAAACACAGCAAATTTAGCCAAGATTCAACTAGCAATTGACTTGCCTTAGGACACTTTCTCATGCCTTTACGTCCATTTAATCGATAAAGACGGTTGTAATAAACTTGAACACAATACAATCTTGGTCCAAACTCCAACTGGAGAAAGCCGTCTTGTGGCGTGTTATTTTTGATTGCAATTTTCGTGGATTTTATAATGACGTGTTTTGCTAAGAGTTTTGAGATTTCCGCTTTAATCTAAACCACATGTTCATTGCATACAGAAATGGCCGAATGGGACGATTATATCGCCTTTTACAATCTGCAATATTTGTGGATCAGATGTCAATGATTGCCAGAAAATATTTCTACAGCGCGTGTAAGTGCTGTAAGTGCTCTAATTATTTCCCCCAGAAAATAATTCTACAGAGCGTGTAAGTGCTGGTAATATTTTTGATGTAAAATAGTGAGGAAAGTTATTTACCTGTAAATCTATTGACGAGTCTGTTGTCTGAATTGACGCAGAATTGTTGGCAAAATTTTTGTTGCTGGAGAGAGAAGTGACCCCTCCCCCTTCTAGAGTAAAAAATAGTTGGCTTAGTTAGTTGCTATGGCGTGAAACATGGGCGTGGTGTGAAATAGCGGGCTTTTTTTTGAAGCAAACTGGTATTCTCGCAGTCTTTCAAGAACGGTAATTTGACGAAAACGTTAGAAAACGTTCTAAAAGGCAAAATAATCAAGGACAACGGGCTATGGAACATTGGACGAATTCAAGACAATACATCAAATTTAGATTAAAAAATGTGGTCTTTTAAAGGAAATTAACGGAAATAAATATCTGGAACAGAACCTTGCCCTTTATCATCGACTTCTAGAGAAAGATTGTCGCACGCGTATCCAGGGCAACATCAAAAGGTACAACGACTTCGTGGTGCCTCTAATCGTAAATGTCATTAAGCATCCTTATGGTTGTCCTCTTCCTTAACTATGTTCAAACCATCTTTCATTTTACTATGATTTATTAGTAATGAATTAATAGTGCATAGAACAATTCAACAGTTTGTGT